ACCTACGATGAGAATTTTTTCATGCTTTTTGTAAATGTGCTGTAAAATTTTTTCCATTTCTGTAATGAATTTAGTTTTCTGCATTTTAGGTGACTTATATATAGTTATAATTGCAATATCTTTAACAATAGTTATAGCATTGTCTAATGGTGATGTTATGCTAATTGTTTGCATAATTCCTAGAATGCTTTTGTTATAAATTGCAATACCACCTTCATGGTGTGATACTTTTCTATTGACTAAATGTGGAGAGTTAAATGTTTCAATTTCAAGAATCTCACTTCCTATTTCATCTCTGAGCCATGTTTCCGTGAGACAAATAATGTCACAACAAGTCAAATCATTGTTGGACTTAACATCTTTCATGTGAGCAATCAGACCTTGTGTATTGTGATAGATAAGGCTCAAATCATTTTCAGTTGCAATTTCATATTTGGGTAAGTCAAAGTTTGGCATTTCCTCTAGAGCTTTTGCCATTTTGTCATCACAGTAAATTGATGTTGGGTCATAATCAATAATATAAAGTCCATCGGATGAAGTAACCCTACTGAATGCAACATATGCTTGGCCACCTGCGAACATATTTTTGCAAGAAATTGCTAGTTGATCGCATGTTTTTCCTTGTAACTTATGTATAGTGCAAGCGTATGATGGAATAAGAGGTATTTGCTGTCTCATAAACTTGCTATTGACTTCATCATTATATGGTTCGATGCGTATAGATTCAGGATGAATTTCAGACTGATTTTTATATCTGGTTTTAATACCTACTTTAGGATTATCAAACTTCACCCATACAGCACTTGGCATATTGTCTGATTCCTTCTTAAACTCAATTGCAGTTACAACACCAAATGCACCATTAGCAAGTCCATCAGCAATACATAAATTCTTTATAAGAAGAACTTGTGTACCAATACAAATTTGCAATTCAGGAGTGAGTGTATCTGCTCTATGTTGAGGTTCTTCATCAATTTTTTTCCATTCTTGCCCCTTCAATTTCTTGTAGTCAATTGCTTTTATCTTATGTATTTTAGCATTTGTTGATTTTGCGTGTGAGAGTATTCTCTTCTTATTATATGCATCAACATGAATGTGCTTTGAATATATTCTCATTACATCTTCTGGAATCGGTTTCTTCATTATTTGTCTTATAAATTCATCATCTTCAGCTGATATCTTTTCTCCTTTTTTAAGAACTCGAATTCTGTTAAGAAATTCAGCGTATTTCATATCACCCCTTTGTCTCATGATTTGCGTCAGCTCTATTTTCTTGAACTTTTCCCAAGGATTATAATTTGTTTCATCAGGTTTAAGTAAACTTTTCTGTTTGACTGGAGGTAACTGATAAAAATCTCCAAATGCTAACACTGAGGTATCACCAAAGTCAGGGTTGTCACCAGGTTTAATTTGCTGAAGCCTGCCTCGTACTGTATTAAATAGTCTAACGCTAACCATAGATATTTCATCAATTATTAGATTTTTCAGAGATTCAAGTCTCATTTTCAAGGGAGCTATCTTAGATTCCTCAAGTTCCTCATATGTTCTAGACAAATATCTCGAAGTTATTCTAAATGCTGAATGCAATGTATTACCATTAATTTGGAAGGCGCTTGTACCTGTTGGGCTAGTTAAAAGTACACTCAGATCATCTGGATTCTTTAAAAGGCTTCGCAGTAAATGTGTAGCAATGTAATGAATGCATTTTATTAAGTGTGATTTACCAGTTCCAGCTTTGCCACAAATATGTACAAATAATGGTTTTATTTTATTGCCCCATGACAGTTCTAAGCATTGTTTTCTTATCAAGTAAAATATCTGTTTTTGTTTTGTGTTCATAGATCTGATCATTTCCATGGCTTCACTTGTCGGTATTGTATCTGTTTGTAATTCAACTAGACAATTCACCTTTCCCTTTTCCTGGTCTTTGGTTTTAAAATCAATGTCAGGCATATCAGTTTCATCGATGTCATCAGATATTGATTCTATATTTTCAGAAATACACTCTTGTCTTTCTAGTTCTTGCTCTGGAGCTAAATTAGCCCATGCATTCTCATATGAATCTCCATCAGATAATTTGTCTTGTGCAGCATCTAATTCATCACCAGTAACATCATAAATTCTTTTATATTTTTCTACAATTTCAGAAACTTTGAATAATTGACCTCCATGTTTAATTTTTCCACATTTAAAATATCCTTCAAATGTTTCATATTCAACAGGTTGTAATTCTTTATCACTCCTGTGTGGTATGAAGAGTTGAAGCATACTATGATAATATTCATTGGGATTGGTGTCCTTTGAGAACTTTGGGTAGCGTATAATACCTGGTGGACTTTTTGATCGCTTTTGTATGAATCCTAAACCAAAGTCTAGTTTTATTCTTTTCGATGTTTCCCTTTCATCTTCTGCTATCTCTTCATCATTGTTATATGTCACAACTCTATAGAGTGATGCAAATTCTGCCAAACATAAATCATTAAATTCAGCATTATGTGGTCTTGCAAAATATCTATCAATGATACTTGTTGCCCATATTTTATCTGGCTTATCATCTTTCTGTTTGCGAATTACTGAAATGGGTAGTGACATTTTAATGGGATTATTACCTACTGGAAGGAATACAGTTTGTCTTGAGCATTCTTTAAGATGAAGATTACTTGCTCTATACACAGCTTCCTGGGCACTAACTTCTCTATGCTTCATATATCTGTAACCAATCATTTTCATGAGTCTAGAAGCTGAGGCGTTTTGTTCTTTAGCTTCTTGTTCTGCATCAATTAGGTTCTGACTCATTTCCCGTTCCTGTTTTGATATATATGATACAATGTATACAACACATGAAAATACATCAAGAACAAATTGTATATCCATATTGGCTTCCCATGCTTTTAAAAGGTCTGCATTGTAATTATTTATCCACATGTCTTTTACAGTTCTTTTCAAAAATATAGTTTTTCTTTTACTTTTTGTCAGAATTCTAATAATATTTTCATATTTTTTCATTGTTAATCCAGGGTGAGCTTTTTCAAATATTTCATTTAATGTCATTTCAGAATAATCTTCAGCAAGAAAGAATTTCCATAGAGATTGAATGATATCTTCAGCTACTTTTATTGGTATACACTCGGTAGACTCCTCAGGAATTGTGTCATCAATGATAAAGGTTTTCTCAGATGGAAGTCTTGGGAAGTGAAATCTACAAGTAGTTCTTTTATTTTTCTTGCAACTTTTTGAGTGCTTTTTGCTATGCGTTTGAACTTCTGTTACTATTTTGCACAAATCTGGATTAGTTGTTTCATCAGGCAATTCACAAGTAACATACTTATCTATGAATTTTTCCACTTCTGAATTTGTTGATTTGCCATAAATGGGAGCACCTTCAATCCAAATTAAACAATGTACATGAGGCGACCCTCTCATTTGAAATTCAACTCTATAAAACATGTCTTTCACTTTACCAATTGGTTGTGCTGGAGATTTAATAACATCCTTCATGAACCTTTTCCATCTATTATCAAACATTCTAGTTACAGTGACGGGATTATCCCTAATCAATTCAGCACGTTCTGTCTTGGATATTTCTTCTGGTAATCGTGGGTCATTGTTTTGATTAAGAATTGTGATAATAACTTCATTCCATTTCATATCTGCTGATGAAAACGAGCAAAACCACGTCGGTGGACCAAGTTGCCTAATCATAGCAAATAAATCTTTTTGTACATGTTGCCAGTATGGTGGTGTTCCACGAATTGGTTGTAAATAGTGATGACCAACATTTTTACGGCAAAGCATTTCACTTTTTTCTTTGTCAATTATATCCTCAGCTGTAATTGTATCACCACTTTTTGACTTTCCCGTTATCTTTCTGAGATTGACACTCACTTTGGACAGAATATTCTGGACTTCAGTCAGATATTGAGCATAAAATATATACTGAGTATTTTTAGCAAATCTTAAGTCTGCAGAAAATAACCTATTGCCAAAATATTTTGTTGCTGACAATTTCTTTTCTCTTTTTTCATTATTAGAATTTCTACCATTTGGAAACAAAGTGGGAAATGAAAGAGCTTCATTATTTTTTTCTTCAAGAATACGTATTGGCTTGTTTCCTTCTCCTGGTGCTATGCAGTATATTTTGTCAAGATGTGTATCAAGAATGTGCTGAGCAATATTATCAGGCTGCAAACAAGTGTCAGACACTATATCTACCATACCATTTCTTGTATCTTCCCCCTTGTTCTCTTTGCTAATTTCTCGCTGACATACATTATATCCAATATCAGTTTGTTTTAATTCAGATGTTCTTCCAAATTGTTTTTGATCTTCTTCACTTAAAATTTCTAGAGGTATTAAATCCACAAAATCATCCATTATATCAATATCTTTGTAGTGTTCATTGTTTTGTTTAAGATATGCTAATGCCTTTTTTACTCTTGAAATACTGACAGATTTATATAAGTAATGCCCTTGATATTCAAGTTTACGTTTTAGTTTGACAGTCAAAAGCTGCTCATCATTCATTGGTCTTGGTAAAGCTTTAATGGTTTCATCAGCATTATTTGACACAGATATAACAGGCCCATTCATACCAAATTGTCCTCCTCTTGGCAACTGAACTACTTTCATGAAAGGTAAACGTAGTGATACCAGATGTTGTTCAAGTATATTTAAATCTTTTAGTTCTTGTGGAATTGCTGGTAATGACAAATTATTGCTATTAGCCATTGGTGGAATTTTCCCTTTTTTAAAATGTACATGACAGTTTTGACATATCCATAATTTACTCATTGGAGACTTACAAAGTGCACAATTTTCTTTGCAGGATATTTCTCTATTATGCAAATACATTTCTGAAACACACTTTTGTTTATCTTCCTTTGATAGTTTGGGATAGGCATTTCCCTTGTATGTTAGCACTTGGTGTTGAAATAACAATCTGTGACAAACCACGCAAATATAGTTTAATCCATCATTTACTGTTTGTTTAAAGTCATGAATTACTCTATCAATATTTTCTCGTTGAGTCTTTTTGGTAATGTGTTTTTCTTTGCCTTGGATAATTTTACTTTTTTGAAGGCTTCATCAGTGTCATATTTTTGTTTGCTCTGTTGTTTACTTTGTTTTTTCACTCTTTGTTGGAAGTCTTGATCAGATTCGTATTTTTCTTTACTCTGTTGCTTCACCTTTTCTTTAAAATCTTGATCAAATTCATACTTGTCTTTACTCTGTTGCTTCACTTTTTCTTTAAAGTCTTGATCAAATTCATACTTTTCTTTACTCTGTTGTTTCACTTTTTCTTTAAAGTCTTGATCAAATTCATACTTTTCTTTACTCTGTTGCTTCATTTTTGCTTTAAAATCTATATCACATTTGTATTTACTTTTACCTAAGTTTACCTTTCTTTGTTTAAAATCTTCATCAATTTCATATCTTTGTTTACTTTGATGTTTGCTTTGGTTAAGCTTCCTTTGTTTGAAGTCTTCATCATTTTGATATATTTTTTTACCTTGGTTAAGCTTCCTTTGTTTGAAGTCTTCATCAATTTGATATCTTTGTTTGTTTTGGTTAAGCTTCTTTTGTTTAAAGTCTTCATCAGTTTCATATCTATGCTTACTAAGATATTTCTTTCTATCTTTGAGTTCAGGTGTAGATGCATATTTCTCTGTATCATGTTTCAATTTTTTCTTTTTAAAGTTTTCATCAATAGCATACCTTTTTTTGGTGAGGATATTAGCCTTGTATTTCTTTTGATCTGACTTGGACATTTTTCTCAATCTAGCCATTTCTTTATCTGAGAAAATAGCAGTTTGGAAATCTTTTGTACACAGGCTACTGTCAAATATGTTTTCTTTATCATTCACAGTATTTTTGGTACATGGCATCCAAGCTTCATCACATTTTCCAGCACCTAGCTGTCCAGATTTGCATGTTAATTGACAAAGATCAACATATGATCGTTTGATTTCTACGCTCATTGAATTAACAGCATTTTGTTGATTGTCAGATAGTGGTTCAATAATTTCAGACTCTTTTCTTTGATGTGCAGCAAGATTTTCCAAGTTCAATTTTCTTTTGCAAGATTTCCCTTGAGCTGACTTCGAGGACATGTTGAATGGTTCACTACTAGTAAGGTTTTTTACTTCATTTTTTGCAAGGTCATTTCTACACTTCATTTTGCTAGATATTGTTGATAGTTTAGAGTTTTGATCTTGTATTTGAGAACTTGTACATTCTTCAAACTTAATACCATCAACAGAAAACCCATGCTTAGCATTAGTTCTGTTTATTAAACTATCAGTTAAAGACTCAGCAGTGTTCCATAAGAATAATGACATTCTTTCCAATGAATTTGAAATATGAACTATTGCATTTCCTAAAACATCAATTCTTCCTTGATCATCTCTACTGTGAGGATCAAATGAGTAATACATGTCTTTTTTCTTCATTACACAAATTGTTGTATTCAGGAATGTAATAAGGCATGAGTTGTAATCTGTGAGCACTTTTTCAATTGCTTCATGTAGAGTTAATCCGTCATCATCTTCTTCATTGTAATTCCAATATTCTAAGTAGCCCTGTAGTTGTCTTGATTTGTATATATAAGTTTTGTTGTTAAAACTGATGGTTTCTGGAATGTCAAATATTTCAAGGTAGCCTGTTGGAGTTGGATTTTGTGATATAATGCTAGTATACAGAATATTGCCTCGGACTAATACATCTGTGATAAATTCAGCATCAATTTTGTGATTGGTTTCACTTTCAAGCATTAGTAAAAATGACATTGAATTTGCAAAACATTGCTTTCCACCACCAATTCCATCAAACATAGAGTTATTTTGAGATATGTTTCCTTGTATGACTTCATCAAAGATCTGTATTTTTGGTGTATTTTCTTTAACAGGATTTATGTCTGCATTTCCATGAATCACATCTGTGACAACATCATAATGATTTTGACTCGAATGATCAAGGTATATACACCTGTTAGTAAACTCTTTTCCAAATACTGCCCATCTTTTTGTGTTTTCATATGTTAGTATCTGTGTTTTGAATAAATGGCAAGCAGTGGCTATTTCAATATCAGTTCCCCAAACAGAAAATCTGTTCATATTTTTAGATTTGATATGAATTTCCAACTCTGCTGCAGTTATTCCTCTAGTTTTACAAATGTATTCTTTACAGCTTTGATCATTTCTGTGACACACTATGCTCTGTCTAATTGCAGTGTGATCATTTTCATCATTTGTTATACCGTATGCAATTGCTCTAAAGAGACAGTTTCCATCACCTGTGATATGTTTTAAGGATTCATATTTTGGCTTCATAAAGGTAATGTCAACATTGTTATATACAGGATCATTGCTCTTTGATGTATACTTGAGATGATGGATGTTGCATAGCTTAACTTTCTCAATGTTTTGCAAGGGATTAAAATTTCCAATTGGCCTGCAGAAAGTTTCTTTCAAAACAGTTACATCATCAGAACTTTCACATGGCTTACTCTTGGGTTTACTTTTTGGCTTGTAACCTCCTGTTTGAGAAGCTTCATACTTTGTAACTATATCTCCACATTCTGACTGTGTACATACATTTTCATTAAACAGTTTGTTTCTTTTGCCATTGTTTAGTTGGATCTCATTCTTTTTAGGTTCATTTTTATGGTTTGCAGTAGGAAATGTTTCATTATGAATCAGTACTGGTGGAACACGTGGAGAATTATCATTAAAAATATCTTCCATTTCTTGCACAATTTTCAGAAAGTATGGATCTTCAGTGTCCGACACATTTTCACAGTTTTCAGTTGTATCAATATCTGAGTTGTTACTAAGATATTTGAATCGTTTCAGTTGTTTTCTGTTTGAACAGTTTTTGATTTCAGTATTCTCTGTGTTTAAGATTTTGAAATCATTCTTTTCAATTGGTGGTACTCTTACAGCGTTGTCAGACAAATACTTTTCCAGATCAGGTTTTGTGAATACATGCTTCTTAGATTCTGTAGTTCTATAGTTATTGTCAGGGACATGCTTTTCTTGTTTTGAAGTTAACTTTCTTTTCTTCCTTCCAAGTTTTCGACTTGAAAATTTCTGAGTGTTTGTAAGAAAATACTGCACAAATCTGTTGTTTTTTAAGTGTTGTTCCATTTTGTTTCTAGATGCTTTCATTCTAATTACTTTTGCTCTTTCTTGTCCTCTTACTTTGTTGCGGAAGTACTTTTCTGATTTTGAAAGGGATCTTAGAATGTTCTTGTTATTAGTAAGTAAACATTTCACTTCTTGAATAATTCGTTGAGATTTTCCCAGGGCATCAGTGCAGTTTTCTAACAAAGTATCTCTAGTTTCTGTGATAGTTTCAACATGGGGTGACACATTCACTTTTGTTAGTTTTCTCAGTCTCTTCTTTTCAGATTTCACAATAGCGCTTGGTAATAACAGTGTGGCTAATTTAGTCACCAAGGTGTCTTGAATTTTTTCGGTAAGTATATTGTGATGTTTTGCATTGTTATAAGGGATATCAGAAGTTGTGCATGATATAAGAGCAATGTTCTTATACATAGAGTCAGTTGAACAAGTAAACGCAATTTCAGAAAGTCTTGTTTCATTCAAGCACAATGGCATGGGGTTTTCAGACTTGTTACTTTCACTCATATTTATGGTTTCACTTTTTTGTTTAGCAAGTACCACAGATGGTTTGGGAAGTACCTCATTCGGTTTTTGTTTGGTAAGTTCCACAGTTAGTTTTTGTTTGCTAAGTAGCACATCAGTTTGTTTTTGTTTGGTAAGTAACACAGTTTGTTTTTGTTTGGCAAGAGCCCCAGTTTGTTTTTGTTTGGTAAGTACCACAGTTTGTTTTTGTATGGCAAGAGCCTCAGATTGTTTTTGTATGGCAAGAGCCCCAGTATGTTTTTGTATGGCAAGAGCCCCAGTTAGTTTTTGTTTGCTAAGTAGCACATCAGTTTGTTTTTGTTTGGTAAGTACCACAGTTTGTTTTTGTTTGGCAAGAGCCCCAGTTTGTTTTTGTATGGCAAGAGCCTCAGATTGTTTTTGTATGGCAAGAGCCTCAGATTGTTTTTGTATGGCAAGAGCCCCAGTTTGTTTTTGTATGGCAAGAGCCTCAGATTGTTTTTGTATGGCAAGAGCCTCAGATTGTTTTTGTATGGCAAGAGCCTCAGATTGTTTTTGTATGGCAAGAGCCTCAGATTGTTTTTGTATGGCAAGAGCCTCAGATTGTTTTTGTATGGCAAGAGCCTCAGATTGTTTTTGTATGGCAAGAGCCCCAGTTTGTTTTTGTATGGCAAGAGCCTCAGATTGTTTTTGTATGGCAAGAGCCTCAGATTGTTTTTGTATGGCAAGAGCCCCAGTTTGTTTTTGTATGGCAAGAGCCTCAGATTGTTTTTGTATGGCAAGAGCCTCAGATTGTTTTTGTATGGCAAGAGCCTCAGATTGTTTTTGTATGGCAAGAGCCTCAGATTGTTTTTGTATGGCAAGAGCCCCAGATTGTTTTTGTATGGCAAGAGCCCCAGTTTGTTTTTGTTTGGTAAGTACCACAGGTGTGTTTTCTCGGTAAATTACTGATTTCTCTAAACACGAAAATCTGAAATCAGGATGCATTTGTTCATGCTCCAGCCGCGATACAAATGCATCACCCCCATTGCGACCTTCACAGCGATTACCTAATTCCCTTGGGATGACTTTTCTCTTCTTCCTCCTTCCATCAGGCAAGGACTGCAAAACAAGAGTAATTACTGTACTCTCCACATTATTGTGTGCTATTATATTTCGTGATTGTGAGTTTAATTCATGAAGTGTAATATCAAAGAAATTTAATTCATAAAATATATTTTTGAAATTCTCAGGAATTGAAGTCTTAAATATTTCTCAGTGTGACAGTATTTTATAAACTAAAAGTAATTGAAAAACTTTTGTAACCACAAAATTTCAATATCGCAAAAAACATGAAATATAAAAGCACTGAATAATGCATAGAGTACAGTATCTGGTATTCAGAAGAATAAATAACACAAATAAATACATACCTCTCTACATCTTTCCCTCAGGGTAATGAAACTAATTAGCCAGTTTGATGTATCAAATGCCCGTGACTGATTGGCTAACTCACTTCAACACACTAGAGGTCATATTCATACAAACATACAACAACACTGCACAGATACATACACAAATGACAATAAATGAACTAAGAGAGCATATGTACAACTTATTCAGTGCACTAGACTATTCAGGGAATCCCAAAACAGATTGTTTCATTACTCCTTTTAACAACATTCATACAAACTCAGTGGGAAACTTTCATCATGAATGAATAAATAAGCACAATTGTATTTTGATTTATCCTGAAATTTTCGGAGCTCATGAGATTCAGCACTTTAAATTAACTAAGTTTTACACAAACATTTTCAACCAAGTGTTCCTAAAGACCTGGAGCAAGAACACATCCAACTCAACTTCTAGGTTATAGCACAAAAATCACCTTACCTGTATCCAAAGCTATACATCTGGCTAGGTTTCATTAACTAGGATGCCCAAATGGGAATTATACCACAGTTCACTCAGATACATACCCAATCAAATGTTCAAATGTCCCGAGACTCGCAACTCGAGCTGTCAAACTTTTGTAACTGAAACCTCAGACAGTGATAGTTGACTTTAAACATATTTCTCAGACTCACAACATCTAGGTAACAGCATACATACCCATTAGCTCTAGCTCTCCATCTAGGTTACATAAATCTAACAACATGGATGACCATTTTTAAAACTATTGTTTTGTTTACCTTCTTTAGGTCTAACTTGGACCTCCTGACATACTCTCTCTTCCTCCATGCTTTTGGTTTTCTTGCCATAGCTGTGTAAATAAAAATAAATGATCAAGACAATAAATATACATTTTCTATGACATATGCCACATTAATAAAACAATAGAAATTAACTTCTTGTATCATGTATGAAAAAGTGCTGGAGTGTTATGCTATTTTTCATTCTATGTGCAATTAAAAAATTTGTAATTGGAAAATGAAAATATAAGCTGCTTTTATTTCATCTAGGATCAAATGTATCAATTCAGGTAATTTAAGTATAAAATAAAATTTAGCCAAATGAATTGTAAATAAAATTTTAATCCATCTGATTGTTACATTGTCATACTTAATTTGTCAAGACATGATTGAGTATATGGTTTGTACTTAATATGAATGAGTATTCAATAAAATCATGTTTGGAGGACACCATAATTATGCTTAAAATTCAAAATTTTAATTCTAAATATTTCATTTGAGATTCTGTTAAAAATTCAAATTATATATGGAGCGCTTTATAAACATTTAACTTTACTATTGTATTTATGGTATGAGATATTAAAGTGTATTTCTATTAGGCATATATCATAGAAGTTGTATCTTTTAATACATAAATGAAATGTTACGTAAAACCATAGCACAGTAGATAGTGTATCCAATTTCAAACATTTATCCTTTGATTATTGAGTGTTATCAAAATATAGTTGTGAATTTCATGACAATATATCATTACGAAAGAAAGTTTGATACAACAGTAATTGAGCTTGTATTTCCAAATGCAACTTTAGGCTGTTGTCTACTGGATTAACTTAATGTTTTATGGGCAACTCATTTAAATATAAATATTAAATACCACTTTTTCATACATAATTAAATGAGTTGGTGATAAATAGTAGGTTAATCCAGTAGCTAACAGCTATAAGTTGCATTTACTAATATAAACTCAGCCAATCAAGTAATATGTTAACTTTAAAGTGAACAATTTATTACAATGTCTAATACAAAATTGATGAGACCGTAGACAAATAAAATGAACATTTAATACTGTTATTAAGGAATCCTGAAAAAATTAGGTTTATGTTTAGGTGGTTGGACCTAAAAATATACCACTATGGGCAAAATATTGTTAGGGGGCTATAGCCAAAACCAATAATAGACACCAGCATCAAAGATATCACAGATTGAAGTACATAACACATGAAAGGCAAAAGAGGAACAAGCAAGAGCATAATTCTGTCTAAAGTAGAAGAAGAAGGCAATAGTTGGAAGAGTAACAGAAGGAATATATAAGCGCAAAGGCCAAAGGGAAGGGTGACTACAAACTCTAAAGAAACCCAACAAGAAAAGCAAACTGTAAGTGTAAATCTGTCATAAGAAAAGTAGACCCTATATATCCCAAAACCGTGATCTAACGTGAAAAGAAACAATGTCTAACACGCCCCTCCAATCGAGAACCAATATCACAATCCAGGACCAGAACACCAAGGGACATTTGATTCATACTGAAGTCTGAATACATGTTGAAGAAAAAATTGAAAAATGTATAACCAATACTCATAACATCAAAAATAGTTACTAGTACTCATAAAAGATAGAGTATTCAGTCTCAAATGATGTGTGATAGATAAAATCCAGTCTCGAAGTCCATAGGCAATTCAGAGGGTCAACATCTGTTCGCAAAGCAGTCATCATAATTCATAAAACACAACAATTCACAATGGTCATCAGGAGAAAACTATGGCTGGTTTCAATCCTTATTTCTCAACCATTAATGCCATAGCCGGGATCAACCTCAAAAGGTGCTAAGTGAAAAAATTGTGAGTTCATTGCCAATTTATTATACCATTCCTACATCCTTCAGCATCTCAAGTGGAAAAACTTGAAATTTCAAAATTAATGACTTGTACTTTTCAGCAAAGCCCAGAAAGGATTTCTTAAGTTTTTTACAAGTATAACCTTGACCTTACAGCTTGATCACTAAAATATGGTGTCTTGATTTGAAATCTAGATATTTTGAACACCCCTGCAATATCTAATAAGCTGGGATACATAAACCCCATATGCTGGGTTTAGTGGAATATTGCTATCCAAATGTGGAAAATTAACAATGTAAAAATTAAAGTCATCTCTTTTGTAATATAATTTAAAATATATACTGTTGTCTCATTCAATGTTAATAAGAATATCAAGATAACATGCACTCATATCAAAGGAAGTATTTTGATTTGACAACTGGAATGATACAAGTCTAAGATTAAGAAAAAATGGAATCAGAGCAAAAAGAAGTTGAGCACAGTGCACAAAAAGCAAACTAAACTGTCAAAAAGGAAAAGGAAGCATAAGCAATGAACCAAACTTCATGACATTTGTCATGGAAGGAAAGTCAACAAAGAAAGCTTCAAAACCAAGAAAAAATTTGTAGCCAGAAACATATTTGAATTAGTAGATTTGTTTTTTGGAGAGAAGATTTTGTAATGATACTCCAGTATGTCTAATTATTTATGCAAATTCAAATAAACATTACTCAAACTTTCAAATCAATCTGTGGAGCATTGTGCCAACAAGACCATTCAGACAAGTTGGCCATTTTGCTATAGATTTTAATAAAAAAATACTTCAAAATTTCAAATCTATAATCCCAGTGGTTCACCTTGAAATGTACAGAGTATACTTTTCAGATAAGATTTAGGAAAAGAAAATCTAGGATGACTACCTTAAATTTGACCAAGCATGCCCAAATATTAATAGCTCGATACACCTTGAAAACATTACTGAAAATTTCAATCCATCTAGTGACAATAATTTGCAATGGAATATCAAAAATGGTTACTCTACAATGAAACAAACATGTTCAACATGTCCACACCAATAGGTTATCTTAATGGTTTTTCATCTGGAATCCCTGAAACTAATTGGTTAAAGAGACAAAAACGTGGGACAAACATTTTAAAAAATAGCCACTTTAACATTCACCCAGAATGTCCAAAAACTAATCAGTTTGAGGTTTTCATACACTTATCCCAGCAAATTAAAAATTAAACGGTTTGTCTGGAAGTGCATACATAAGATATTAGACGAAAAAAACAAAATGGCCACCTTAACATTTACCATGCTTAAAATTAATCAGCGAGATTTTCATCATCGTCGCTGAAAATATGAAATCGATCTGCCAAATGGTTCCCCAGATACATGTTGATAAGACTTTACTGAGAAGATTTTAAAACAACAATACCCCCTTAACATTGACCCATAATGGCCAAAACCTAATCAGTTCAAATTGCATTCTGAGAATCATTCCGTGAAACGATTAGTCTGAAAACGCAGACAAGCCTTTACAGACAAGATTTGAGGACTGAAAATCAAAAATGGCCTTCTTAAAATTGACTCTGAATGCCCAGAAACTTATCAGTTCAAGATTTTCATACAAAGAGTCATTCCTGGAAATTTGAAACTGATCTGTGAAGCAGTTCAGCTGGAAACGTGTAGACAAGACCTTACAGACATGATTTTAGGACAGAAAAATCCAAAAGGGCCACCAAAACCTAGTTTGAGATTCTCCTACTAAGAATCATCCCTGAAAATTTGAAAGTAATCCATGAAAAGATTTCTATCCAGATTACTATAAGACTATACAGACATGATTTTATGAAGGAAAATCAAAAATGGCAACCTTAAAACATTAACCCAGAAGGCCTAAAAACAAATCAGTTTAATATTTTCATACAAATGAAAATTCGAAATCAATCCGTCAAATATTTTGCATGGAAACTCATAGACAAGACTTTACAGACAGGATTTTACAACGAAAACAACAAAATGGCCAACAATAATAAAAAAAAAACGGACAGAAGTTTTTTTAATTTATAATTGTAACAAAATTATCACATTAAACTACAGTGAAACTGACATAAGTTTCACAATACATGACACCTGAATATTTTTAAAATTTTAAAGCTACTAAATAGGTAATTTATACTACTATGTGGTGAGAATATGAAAAGTTTGTTTCATCAGTCAATCTGACTAGAGGGAACAGGTGTTAATGTTCATTCATACATAAATTCACACCAACAGTTAGCTCAACTGTCCTTAGTAAACCAGAGCAGGTGATCACCTCTGCAACTGAAAGCTCAATGATTCATGAATGAATGATTAAGGCATCAGGGCCTAGCTGAGTGTGCTCTTGACTGGTTGGTCAACTTGACAACTCCCAAAAAAGTAGTTTCATTAGTCAATAATTAGCTCAACTGTCCTTAAGAAACCAGAGTGGGTGATAACCTCTGCAACTGAAAGCTCAGATAGATTCATGAATGAATAAAGAATGTATAAATGCAAGGTAGTTCACACGTCCTGACTCACAACCACATGGTTATGACATCAGTGCCTAGACCGGTCAGCCAACTTGACAACTTCAAAAAAAGTTGTTCAGCACTCAATCTGACTAGAGGAAACAGGTGTTAATGCTCAGACAGACTAGAGGTACATTCATACTTGTACATACATACATGCACACACACAACTAGCTTAATGACATTATTTAGACAAACAAATTAGGCCAAATGCTCAACATTTTTGGGAAGGTGGAATATGAAAACTAAAGATAAAGCAAAGATAAAGACCCAAGTTTTGCCAATGGCCAAAGGATTAAAACTAACCAAAAAGACCAAGTGCTCAACAATTTGGGAAAGTGGAAATAAGAGCACTAAGTTTAAATGGAGATTAAGGTTCTTAAACCTGAAATAAAAATAAAAAAATGGCAAGACTCTTTAGTGTTCTAAAGAATTTTTAAAAAATGTGAATCAATCAATCCATCGAGTAATGTTCATGGAAATGCACAGAAAATATTTTTAAGACAAGAACATGGGATTGAAAATCCAAAATTGTTTCTGTACATAGAAATTACACATCGCACAAATCTGGGGAAATTAGCGTAACATTATGGCGTTAAAATACCAAAACAAAACAATGGGCAGTGTATGGCGCAAATAGCTATATAACATCAAAAACGATGAGTCGTACATTTTGTCAAGTTAATTCAACCTTAAAGT